CATCTCTCATCTGCCCAGCTGGCTCCGCACCCGCCGCTTTAGCGAGCCTACTTTTCGACCCTCCGGAGCCCCAAATCATTGGAAAAACACGGTGTTTCGCGACTTTCCTACCTTTTCTCGCATCTGCATCTTCTTTCTTCTTACTCTTCTTTCTTCTAATCTTTCTCTTCTCTCTGCCTCTTCCCTGCTCTGCTTTTCATCTGTCCATATTGTCGGACGTTTGACTTCTAAACTTCCTTCGATAATTCTAACTGATTCTGAATCGTTGAAAAAGGGACTGAGCTGGCGGCATGATACTTTAGCTGCCATGTGGCCAGGTTTTGAACACATGCTTCACTGAGTCGACAATCACGAGCCGCAGCCGATAAGTGACAAGAAGTTACCATCGTTGTGATGGTATAGGAATTTTCTTGTGCCTCGCTTCTAGGAAGTTCGGCCCGTCGCTCAGGCAGCGAAGAGTTGTCTTCAAGAAAGACCGGGAGGACACTGTAAGTTGAAATGATATTGACACTCCCAGCAATGTGCACCCACACTGTAAGCAGTACCGTATACTGTGCAAACACGAGACAGGGTGAAAGATGTGTTTCACCACAATATTCAACATCATTTCAGATTTTTCCATATTTTTCCCACATCTGCCATCACTTTTTGAAGTCCAGCAGGACATCAAAAACTTGGCCCTGGAGAGCGTGAGGTTAGTCAAGTCCGAGCCTCGTGAGCTGCCGGAGGGATCACCTGCAGAAGTCATAGGCCATTTGGTCCATCCGCTACGTCAAAAAGATCCGTACAGTACTACGTAGGAGTTATTCTTGTTTGGTGAAGGTTTTCGTGAAAACTGTCATGAATGAGATCAGCATGGATTTTCTGGGTCTGTGGACCTTTCAAGGCTAGACAAGGCTAGATTGGCATACAGCGTTGTCAGGATACGGTGATATCATACCATGACATCTACTTTGTTTTTTCAATGCTATGCTTTAGCACCAGTCAACCCGCAACAGGAAACTTGTAGATGAGCGCATGAAGGGTACCAACGTTCGCTTGGAATACTCACCTGAGAGGTTGGTGCTGGGAAGAGCGGGACTGAGGGTTGTGACGAGATGCGAACTCCCGAGCTTACGGTACCATACATTTGCCATACATTTGCCATACCATACGTGTCTATTTGGAAGGTTGCAAAATCATAAAGACAATCCGTGACAATCGGCGTTCCCGGTGCAGTAATCTTGAGCCTATAGAGTTTTTGAGTGATGGGAGCATGGTTCTTGTCAGAGCCACTGGGCCAGGAATCACTGAATTCCCAGATGGTGCCAGATTTCAACTGAATTTCAACAGCAATATGAAATGGGTCAAACTTGTCAAAGGATGTGAAATCATTCCAGGATCACCATGATGCTTCCATCATGACATCCACTGGTGCAGTTTCACCGGAACGGAGTTGGACTTTGCCCTGGATGTCTGCAATGGTGTGGTTGAGGTGCCAGGGTCTCCCAGTAAAGAAGGCCTTGGGTTGAGTGGTCCTCAAGATGGGATGGAAAGCTGGAAAGCTGGAAAGGTGGAAAGGTGGAAAGGTGGAAAGGCTGCTCCACCCACAGTCATCCATCCTGAAATAGATTAACATGCCCCGATTTCAATTCATAGAATTCATATGAACTCAATATCTATATCTATATCTATATATATATCTATATATATATATATATATCTATATCTATATCTATATATATATATATATCTATATCTATATCTATATCTATATATATCTGTATCTATATCTATATCTATATCTATATCTATATCGATCTCTCTATCTATCTATCTCTCTATCTCTCTATCTCTCTCTCTCTTTCTATCTCTCTATCTCTCTATCTCTCTATCTAATCTATCTCTCTATCTAATCTATCTCCCTATCTAATCTATCTGATCTATCTGATCTATCTAATCTATCTAATCTATCTAACCTATCTCTCTATCTAATCTAATCTTATCTAACCTCAGCTAATCTAATTTAATCTAATCTAATCTTATCTTAATCTTATCGCATCTAATCTAAAATTATCTAATCCAATCTGATGGAATCTGATCTAATCTGATCTAATCCGATCTAATCTTATCTAATACTATCAAATCTAATCTAAACCATTCTAATCTAATCCAATCTAATCTAATCTAATATACTCTATTTTATCTATCTATCCACCTATCTATCTATCTATCGATCTATCTATCGATCTATCTGTCTATCTATCTATCAATCAATCGATCTTTCTATCTATCTATCTATCTCTCTCTCTCTATCTATCTATCTATCTTTCTATCTATCTATCTATCTCTATCTATCCATCTATCTATCTATCTATCTATGTATCTCTCTATCTATCTATCTATCGATCATCGATCTATCGATCATCGATCTATCTATTCTATCTATTCTATCTATTCTATCTAACTATCTATCTATCTATCTATCTATCCATCTCTCTAATCTCTCTATCTATCTATCTATCTACCTACCTATCTATCTATCTATCTATCGATCTATCCATTAATCTATCTATCTATTTATCTATCTGTCTATCTATCTATCTATCTATCTATCGATCGATCTTATCGATCTTATCTATCTTATCTATCTTATCTATCTTATCCATCTTATCCATCTTATCTATCTTATCTATCTTATCTATCTTATCTATCTTATCAATCTTATCCATCTTATCTATCTTATCCATCTTATCCACCCTATCGATCTTATCTATCTTATCGATCTTGTCGATCTTATCTATCTTACCTATCTTATCTGTCTTATCTATCTAATCTATCTAATCTATCTAATCTATCTAATCTATCTAATCTATCTAATCTATCTAATCTATCTAATCTATCTAATCTATCTAGTCTATCTAGTCTATCTAATCTATCTAACCTATCGAACCTATCTAACCAATCTAACCTATCCTATCTATCCTATCTATCCTATCTACCCTATCTATCGTATCTTATCTATCTTATCTATCTTATCTATCTTATCTATCTAATCTATCTAATCTATCTAATCCATCTAATCTATCTAATCTATCGATTCTATCTATCCTATCTATTCTATCTATTCTATCTATTCTCTCTATTCTATCTATTCTATCTATTCTATCTATTCTACCTATTCAATCTATTCTATCTATTCTCTCTATTCTATCTATTCTATCTATTCTATCTATTCTATCTATTCTATCTATTCTTTCTATTCTATCTATTCTATCTCTTTTATCTATTCTATCTATTCTATCTATTCTATCTGTTCTATCTGTTCTATCTGTTCTATCTATTCTATCTATTCTATCTATTCTATCTATTCTATCTATTCCATCTATTCTATCTATTCTATCTATTCTATCTATTCTATCTATCCTATCAATTCAATCAATTCTATCTATTCTATCTATTCTATCTATTCTATCTATTCTATCTATTCTATCTATTCTATCTAATCAATCTATTCTATCTATCTATCTATCTAATCTAATCCAATCTAATCCAATCTAATTCAATCTAATCCAATCTAATCCAATCTAAACCTAACTAATCTTATCTAATCTTATCTAATCTTATCTAATATTATCTAATCTTATTTGTCTGTCTGTCTATCTATCTATCCATCTATCTATCTATCTATCCATCTATCTATCTAATCTCTCTATCTATCTATCTATCTACCTATCTATCTATCTATCGATCTATCTATCTATCTATCGATCTATCTATCGATCTATCTGTCTATCTATCTATCTATCAATCGATCTTTCTATCTATCTATCTATCTATCTCTATCTATCTATCTATCTTTCTATCTATCTATCTATCTCTATCTATCTATCCATCTATCTATCTATCTATCTACCTACCTATCTATCTATCTATCTATCGATCTATCCATTAATCTATCTATCTATTTATCTATCTGTCTATCTATCTATCTATCTATCGATCGATTGATCGATCGATCTTATCGATCTTATCGATCTTATCGATCTTATCTATCTTATCGATCTTGTCGATCTTATCTATCTTACCTATCTTATCTGTCTTATCTATCTAATCTATCTAATCTATCTAATCTATCTAATCTATCTAATCTATCTAATCTATCTAATCTATCTAATCTATCTAATCTATCTAATCTATCTAGTCTATCTAGTCTATCTAGTCTATCTAGTCTATCTAGTCTATCTAGCCTATCTAGTCTATCTAGTCTATCTAATCTATCTAATCCATCCAATCTATCCAATCTATCCAATCTATCCAATCTATCCAATCTATCCAATCTATCCAATTTATCCAATCTTTCCAATCTATCCAATCTATCCAATCTATCCAATCTATCCAATCTATCCAATCTATCCAATCTATCCAATCTATCCAATATATCCAATCTATCCAATCTATCCAACCTATCTAAATCTATCTAATCTATCTGTATCTATTCTATCTCTCTATCTAATCTAATCTTATCTAACCTTAGCTAATCTAATTTAATCTAATCTATTCTTATCTTAATCTTATCGTATCTAATCTAATCTAAAATTATCTAATCCAATCTGATGGAATCTGATCTAATCTATCGAATCTATTGAATCTATCTAATTTATCTAATCTCTCTAATCTTTCTAATCTAATGTCAACATCGTATTAATAACCCCCCCAAACATTAAGAGCATCAGAATAAAGTTAGGGCCAAACATTCAACTATCATTAATATAACAAAAAATCAGACCTATGTATTCCCAAATGAATTGCCTAATTGAAAACGAATACATAATGTTGACATTAGAGGGAACCTTCTTTCCAGACCTATGTATTCCCAAATGAATTGCCTAATTGAAAACGATTACATAAAGGGAACTTTCCACAAAAAAAAATCACCTAGGTATTCCCGAATGAATTGCCTAATTGAAAACGAATACTAAAGGGAAAAAACGGAAAAAAACGGGGAAAAAAAGTTGGCGTACTTTATTGCGGGGGGGTTTTATTATTGTGAACTGGGAGTTGGCGTACTTTATTGCGGGGGGGTTTATTAACGCCATGTTAACATTATCTAATCTTTCTAATCTATCTAATCGATCTAATCGATCTAATCTATCTCATCTATCTAATCTATCTAATCTATCTAATCGATCTAATCGATCTAATCGATCTAATCGATCTAATCGATCTAATCTATCTATTCTATCTATTCTATCTATTCTATCTATTCTATCTATTCTACCTATTCAATCTATTCTATCTATTCTCTCTATTCTATCTATTCTATCTATTCTATCTATTCTATCTATTCTATCTATTCTTTCTATTCTATCTATTCTATCTCTTCTATCTATTCTATCTATTCTATCTAATCTATCTATTCTATCTATCTATCTATCTATCAATCTAATCCAATCTAATCCAATCTAATCCAATCTAATCCAATCTAATCTTAATTAATCTTATCTAATCTTATCTAATCGTATCTAATCTTATCTAATCTTATCTAATATTATCTAATCTTATCTGTCTGTCTGTCTATCTATCTATCGATCGATCTATCTATCTATCTTTCTATCTATCTATCTATCTATGTATCTATCTATCTATCTATCTATCTATCTATCTTGTCCAGTCCAGCGACGCCAAGGTGGGAACCCACTCCAGAGCAGCAGGTGATTCTGAACTTGCCTGGTACTGTTGAGATGGCCACTCCCAACGTTCGGGCACCCTTGGGCACCCATCATTGGGCACCATTGGGCACCAGGCTCTGACAAGAAACCGCCAATTGGTGGGAGTTGGTGTCTGGCATTACTCCGACTCATATAAATATATGTAAATATCACACATGAGACAAGCGCCAGGCAATCATAGGTTGCATGTACCAGACGTGTGTGCTACGACATCACAAGTCAGAATCTTGTCCCAAGAGAAAAGAGGCAGCTGCGCTCCAAATGTGTATCTCGTGCTGGCGCCCAACTTCCCGCCTTGTGCCTTGTTAAATCTGCATGCGCTGAGGTATATGCGGACCAGATTGAGTGGATGTGCGCACACATTGCAAAGCGTGACTCTGTGTTTGGCGGCCCAATGATCAAGTCACAACACTTTGGGCTTGATTGCAGCATGTGGGTGATTTAGTCAGAAGAAGCTCCCGCCGGCTGCACTCAAGCACGCACACAGTACATGCATGGGCAACTGTCCAGTGCAACTGGGGCTCAAGCTTCCTGCTCAGAAAGACTTGCGACGACCTGGCACCTAGCGCCTTGCACAACAATGTACCAGCCCGTCCAGCCACCAATGCAGCCGCCGCTTTTGGCAGATCGACCTACGCTGCTGACTTCGAAGCAGGCGCAAACTTTGACTGCTGAGAAGGAGCCGCAGGCAGAGGAGAAGTCAGACTCTGAAGAGGAAGAAAAGGCCCCAAGCCAAGACTACATTTTTTGTGGTATTGACCTCAAACCGTTCTTGCCGGTGACCCTCGCCGTTTCCACTGTGATCGGCGGAATGTGTGTGTTCTTTTTCCAGATTCCCATTATATGCCGCTGGACATCCATGTCCCATTCATGTCTGGTATGGGTGTGCTCTGTGGTCTATGGAGTGACATTATCCTGCATGACGTATGCGGCATGTACAGATCCCGGACAGTTGAAGGCAGAGAAGAAGAGCCGCAACGTCGACGTCGGTGCCGACATCGAGCGGGGGATGCCAAGTATTCCTTTGCGGGCACGCTACTCATTTCAGTATGACCGCCCAATTCGGCGGTACGACCACTTTTGCAAGTGGCTCAACAATGCCATTGGACTGTTGAACCACCGTGAGTTCATTCTCACGGTGGGAGGTTTGATGTGCATTGCTGTGCTTGGCATAGTGGTCGATATGTGTCTTGCTTTTTTTGTCATCACAAAGAAGGGCGTCGTGGAGAGTGTCCAGACAGAGATCATCCTGGGAAGTCACTTGGCCTACTCATTGATCTTACTGAAATTCGTTTTCCCTGTTCTCAAGATTCACATTGGGTTGATCTCGCGAAATGAGATGGGAAAAGAGTGGAAGAACCACTGGCACTACGTGGCCAATGCCACAAGCATGGGTGACAACATCTATGTGCACGACCTGGATGATGACGAATTCAACGATTTGTTGGACAGTGGTGCATTCATCTATGACCCATCGCGGAACCCTTTTGACAAGGGCCGCTTGCTGAATTGTTTGAACTTCTGGTGTCAGGCTCGGTGGACATCCGATGCCCAGGGTGAATTTTGAAACATCTTCCAGCTTGAGGTTGCACAATGCTTCAAATTATTTCCCATTCTTTCGCATTGTTTTACAGTGTGTTTCACGTTGTTTCACATTGTTTCACATTGTTTCACACTGTTTCACTGCTGTGGGAAAAATCCGGCAAATCTGGTGCACGCAACAGTTGAAACACTCCGGGTTTCCGAATTCAAAACTGCTGGTAGCCTGGTAGAATGTTGTGGTTTCGGCAAATCGTACATGATTGACGGATTGACGACCACATGTCAGCCATCACCCAGGTGCATCAGCGTTCACCCTCACAACGATCGTGGCACTGGCATCGCTGCGGCAGAGCTCGCCATGATGGCAGGCACGGCATCCTCTTCTTGGAGGTTGGTGGCTCCAGGTCCGTGTGATCTGCGCCAGGCGCTGACAGAGTAGAGGGCTGCCTTTTTGGCAACGGCGAGCGAACTGGCAATGTGTGTGGAAACCTGGATCATGTGTTCATTGTCATATTTTGGCCCCTGATATGTCGGCCAACATGACGCTTAATAAACTTGTTTCAGGCGTTCCAAAACCCACAACATAATTTGCATTAATTCTCATTGGTAAGGTAAGGGTTTAGTTGCTGGGCTTGGGACACCGAAATCTCTGTCAGTTTGACAAGCAACTATCCAGCTTTGAACTTTTGACCAATGGACCTCAGTCAAACAGGATGAGGACATATGAAGACTGGACCTAGATTCTGGGAAACTGCATTGTTTTTTCCCGTTGTACTATCTGAATGTTTATCGGACTGATGCCCACCTGATACGTGTTGGCTAAACAGACATTGGTGTTTGCAGTCCCATGTCCCTGGTCGCTTTCAGGTGCCTAGTGACATTGGCCTTGAATCTCTTCACCCAGGGCATTGACCCAGAGGTCGGGTTCGGGACGGCAACTTGTCATGATCCCAGATGACCCATTTGTCTTGCTCCGCCAGGTGAGCTATGTCGAGTTGGAGGCCTCTTTGGGACCATGCTGTGGGGATTTCAGTGAAGTTAAATCTCGTTTGAGGATGTTTGAGGCTTCGCAGATGGAGCATGGAGAGGTTGAGACTCTATAAAATGATCTTGGAAAAGAACAGTCTCTATCCAATTCCTACTGTCGTTGGCTTCCGACAGGCTGAAATGGATTTATTTTCAGCTGGCCAGTCGACCCAGGAGACCATCAAAGTTGCGGAGCACTGCACTGAGTTGAAAGTGCCCGAGCCGATTCCCCAGGAAGCAGTTGTCGCCAGAAATTTGGGAAGGGACACAGATTTGGGGAAACCATATTTCAGCAGACCGGGGTTGTAAACTTTTAAGTGGTGAATCCTCCAGGCGCTATCCTTGGGCTGGCAGCCTGGTCTACACCGCTTTCTCCGGTTCTCACCAGGAGACAGCCGATAAAGCCGCAGTTCATGCAGTTGTTCGGTGGATCCATGACTCCGTGACAGCCATAGCGAAGTGCATAATTGAAGCACACTAAATGACATTCCCTTGAGTATTACCATTACTATCACTCTTGGATATTTGCAGTTGCAGCAGCCGTCATATCTGAGATTGAGAAACTTCGCAGATCTCTTCTGCTGGCTCAATGATTTCAGCAGTGCATCAGGATGCCATCAAGAAGGGATTAGAGGCCACACAGCTGATGAGTTTGGCAAAATCCTTGCAACCTGCCATTCTGCTACAGCTTGGGAGGCAATCAAGACTGCCCAAGTTTGGGAGGTTCCGTACCTGCCCATTGATCCACAGGACCGCGTCAAAACGGTAGCCGCTAGGCTCTTTTTGGGCAATTGCTCTGCGGTATGCCGATGGCATCACCAAACCATTTTGACCAAACCTCTGTGAATCGAAGCCGATTTTGTACAGGCCAGAGTTCATGAGATCAACCCGCTGCCGAGAAACTGTTGGGAGGCGTAAGGCAGGTCTCTACAGTTGTCCCATGGATCCAGTGGTCCATATCCCCTTTGCAGGACATCGGGCGGCACTACGAGGCGATTATTCGAGTCAACAGCCAAAGTGGCAAGGTGCCTGCAAGGGCTGAAGGATCACAGCTCCAAAAGGTCTCATGAAAGTTACGGATCCACAACACATCCAGGCTATGTCTATGGTTTTGTGATTTCCAAGGTGAAAAATCCTAGAAAAGTCTATTTCGATGTCTCATCAAACTCCTTGTGTTTTCTATTTCTGGCTGAAATCAGTGACACTGGGAATGTCCGCTGCTTGCGAGGGTGGCATCGCCTACATTCTGGAGCAGGAGTATGGCATCGCCCTACCCAAGGACTGCATCCGTGGATTCTTGTTGTGCCAAATCTGGAGTTGGTTCAACCCCTTTTTCAACATTTTCCAAACGTATCCAGGAAGTGAAGCTGCGCACTTATAGCTGCAGCCAGTCAGTGTCAATCAAATCCAATAAAGGCCTTTGAATGGCTTGGAGTTCAGAGATGTTTTAATGACGCTTGCAGGAATGCCAGGCGGAATTCGCCCAGGCATGGTTTGCACAGACCTTGATCTGGATGGTTTCAACTGTTGCCAAGCTGCAAGAGAATTTGGGAAGCTCTGGCAGTGACCGGGATTCAAGGACTTTCATTCCGAGCGACACACAGTTGTGCATGATGTATGAAAGAAACCAAGAAATTGTTTCCTTCAACTTTTGCAGGTGGTGCAGAAGATTTCTGACAAGACCAGCAAGGAGACATCGCTGAACTTGGGCATGCTTATCATAGTATGTCTGTGGTGTTAGTCGGATTTCTAATTTGTCAAGAAACTGGACAATCGGCAGGAAGCTTATACACTTCTTTAAAGAAACAACATTGAGACTCGAGACCATAGCGCTCATTCGCTGGAGTTTGACCTGATGCATGGCCCTTCGCACTGCAGGAGATCTCAGCTCAGCAGATCTACGATGCCTTCACGCAGACCTACCTCGATCCTCAGGAGTGAACTGTGTATTGTGCATTTTGTGCATTTTGTGCATTTCCTATGCATCTCCTGTGGATGTGTAGGACATTGTAGGACCATGTGTCACTATGTGTCACTGGAGTATGTTGAAATATGTTGAAGTTCAGTTGTGAAAACATGGAGACGTCGAGCTAAGCGCTAAGCGGCAGGAGCCCATGGCTCTCTTGGACTATGAGCTGCCATGAGCCCAGAATAGCCCAGCATAGCCCAGCATAGCCCAGCTGTTGTATGAACGACGGTGGCCACAGGTCGAACTCGTCAACGGCTGAAGAGGTGGTGTTGAAGGCGCGGGACTCAAACAAAACCATGCTAAAGACTCTAAAGATCTCTAAAGGATGTTGAGGAGGAATATGTATAGAAGCTATAGAATAATTACGTATGGATAGATGGACTACTAGGCTCTGGTTTGCTGGAAGATGTTTGGTATTGCAGCATGGCACCTTCTGCATCATCGGATGTTCCATTTCGCATCATTTTGGAATGGCTTTGCAAGTCCGACTGTCTAGGATTTATGTAGTGCAACTTCCTTTGAAGTTTTAGATGCTCCGCAAAAATGTTTCACTTTGAAGTCTGGGATGACTGCAGGCTCGAGTTCGAGCAGCTGGCAAGGAGAGGGAAGTCCCTGGCAGACAGATTCTAGATATCAGCAACTCAACGCAGATCTGGGGGAGTCTGAAAGTCTCTGCCCAGCTTGAGAACGCCCACACACCTGACCTGGTACACCTACCTGACCTCAGATGGAATGCCGTTGTGAGAGGAGCACCAGGTCAATGGACAGGCATCGCGCCGCTCTCGTGACATCCTATGATTCTGGTACCAGTAGCAGTCTAGTCTAGCAGTGATTGTTTTTCTGTTGCTTTGAAGATCTTGGAGAAAGCTGATGGGGAATCTTGATGAAAGCCGCAGACGCCATGAAAAGCAAGAAGTCACATTTAGAGGGCTGTGTGCATGTATTGTGTCAATGTATAGCATATAGTCCACGGCCCAACCACAACATTTACATTACGTCCTTTTGCAGTGGCCACATTGCTGCATTCTTCATACCGTTTGTAGCCAGGGCAATGGACCCGTCTCGGCCTTCGTTGCGGGTCTCAACAACACCGTCTTTTTGCCCCAGGCATGTCGTGGCACCTCGTTGCACCTCGTGGCACGTCGTTTTGTCGTGAAAGCCTGACAGCCTCAAAGCCGTTGCGCAGGGCATGGCAGTGCACCTTTCAGACTATCATTCTGAAGCGTCCGGGCCCGAGATCAGAACGGCTGAACAGCAACACAGATTAGCTATTTTGATGCTACTTGTACTAGTTAGCAGCAACACAGTTTGCAGACTTTATTCGGCACCGGAAGCACGGCAACACTAATATATTTTGCTGGACTCCCTAAGTGAATGTGAGATATCATCATGAGATATCATCCGAGGGCATGAGATGTCCTGATCCAAATCAAACCAGTTCTTCAAGCGTGGAGTGACAGTTGCGAGACCCTTTTTGAGCATTGCGAGCTGCAATGAAAAGTTCAATGTGCAAGGCGCAGTCATTGCCGCAACGCGGAAGGCTCCGAAGCGGTGCGGGAGCCAAGCGGTCAGCGGCCAATTTGATTGTTGATGGATGATGATGGATGTAAATGAAGTGAATTATTTGTTCATGCGCTATTTTATTTCAGTCATTTATATTCATTTATTCAGTTTTTCTTCCCAATGCCTGAGTTGAAACGGTCCCAACTGCCCCACAGATTTTACACCACAGCTGTTGCGCATTGGAACCGGGGATCCGGTCCACGGGGAAGTAACTCCAAGGTGGCCAGTGTCCGTTGTCAAGCGTGGCGTCTCAGCATCGGGAGAGATTTCACAGCTGTGTTGGAACGTGGGGGACATCAGGAAGATATGGGATCTGGGAGTTTTTTTGTGTCTGAACGCCCCATAAAATGGCAAGTTCAATGATTGCAATGCGAACATATGCGAAATATGATGAACAAATATAAGATCTATAAGTACTCTATTTTCAGATAGACCTATGTCACATTCTAGTTCAATAGCTTGGCTATGTTTGGCTTCTCTTTATGTCCCTTAGTCCCAACGACTGTCTTTCCTTTAAACACTCATCGCAATCGCAGGCTGCGTATCATCTCAGAGTACGATAATTCCACGTGCGCCATGTTGGCGACCAAGGCGGTGGCCAAGAAGGATCAGATGAAAACCGGAAAGCCCAGATTTGGCGTTGGTCTACACAGGCGGCAAATGCCCTGCAAGGTTGTGGTGAGTCATGGTTGGGAAGGTCTTTCTGGCTTTAATGCATGACTCTTTGCGAAGGTCAGGCAAGGGAAACCACTTGCCGCTTGCTTTGAACACGTCGACCCTGGGTTTCGGCGCCCATTGGCAGGAATACCAACACGGCTGTGCTGAAAGCTGTGATCAGCGCGCCAGATGCCTCAGTCAGTTCTACTCTTTGCCCATGTGAGCAGTGGATGTTGAACAAGGATCAAGAACATCCCTGGGAAGACAGTAAATCCCATTCCAACTTTGAAGTTTGTTTTTCATTGACCCTGTTTTGTTGCCTCAGGATCAATTGCTTGTGCGCGGCTGGAGATGCAAAACTCTTTGCATAGGCAGTGGTGCGAAGGGGGTTCTAGGTGAGATTAAGGGGGATGTCTGGTGATGTTTGTTGGGGTGCTGCAGCACGTAAATAGGAAGGCAATCCAAGTTCCAAGTCGATACTCTACATAGATCCAAGTAAGACCCGTAACAGAGGCACTCAAAAAATACTCGAGGTGTACTTTTTTTATCACTGCCTTTTCTTAATATACCAGTAGTACCCGCACGAGGCGGGGCGGAAGTTGCCTTAAAGATATATATAAAACTTTTCTCATCTATAGAACTTGCCTGCGCCGTGCGCCAGCCAAGCCCGTGCGTGCGTGCACTCTGCGAAACTGGTGTCTTGTTTCACATGTCACATGTGAAGCTCCACTTCGCACTTCGCACTTCTCACTGCAGTCTTCGCACTCCACATTACACACTTCACACTCCACACTTCACACTGCACTCTTAAGACTCCACACTTCACACTTCACACTCCACACGTCACACTCCACACTTCACACGTCACACTGCACTCTTCGCACTCCAAACTTCACACTTCACAGTCCACACTTCACACTTCACAGTCCACACTTCACACTTCTCACTCCTCACTGCTTTCTTCACACTCCAAACTTCACACTTCACACTGCACTCTTCATGTCCCACACTTCACACTGCACTCTTCACACTCCACACTTCATCTCATCTGAGCCCTTCTCACCTTATCCCAGCTCATCTCTTCTCATCTCATCTCTTCTCATATGTCACCTAAGCTTTCATGAATCACTTCCCAGTACTACTACTACGGAACTTGCATGCGCCGTGCGCCAGCCAGGCCCGTGCGTGCGTGCTTTGTGCGAAGCTGTTGCAGTGTTGCTGTCCAAGAACACGACCTGCGCGCGACCCCGGTACAATGCAAACACTTTCCTCACACTTCACATTGCACTCTTCACACCCCACACGGCTATGTTTTGGGGAGGAAGCCGGAGCACGAAACCTTGTGTTTTTCCGTGTAAAGTGGCTGCAGGCGACGATGAAAGGTACCTCGTGTGTGCGACGGGTGCGGTTGCGGTCGTTCCGGACGCGATTGGTTCCTTCTATGTGTTTTGCAACAAGTGCTTGTTCCTGTGGTGTATAGTTCTATGCGTTTCCTGAAGCTGTGGTTGCAGATCGCATTGGAATGGCTGCACGAAGCAACCTTGACGCAGCCATTCCAATGCGATCTACAGTGACTGAGCTGCAAAACACAATAGAACTACGCGCAATGGCATCGGAAACTGCAGCTCCAAAACCGGATCTCGACGCCAAAGCGAAAAAAAGACGATTTTGAAGCACTTTTTAAAAGGATTTTGAAAAGGAAAATCACTAGCGCCAAAATGGCGAAAATCTGCTAACAAATCCATTTCGCAGCCTTCATGCAGCCATTCCAATACGATTTACGAGATCCAGCTGCAAAAGACAATAGTATTACGCATGCAGCCACAGCACGAAGCAACCTTGACGCAGCCATTCCAATGCGATCTACAGTGACTGAGTTGCAAAACACAATAGAACTACGCGCAACAGTATCGGAAACTGCAGCTCCAAAACCGGATCTCGACGCCAAAGCGAAAAAAAGACGATTTTGAAGCACTTTTTAAAAGGATTTTTAAAAGGAAAATCACTAGCGCCAAAATGGAGAAAATCTGCTAACAAATCCATTTCGCAGCCTTCATGCAGCCACTCCAATACGATTTACGAGATCCAGCTGCAAAAGACAATAGTATTACGCATGCAGCCACAGCACGAAGCAACCTTGACGCAGCCATTACAATGCGATCTACAGTGACTGAGTTGCAAAACACAAAAGAACTACGCGCAACGACGTCGGAAACTGCAGCTCCAAAACCGGATCTCAACGCCAAAGCGAAAAAAAGACGATTTTGAAGCACTTTTTAAAAGGATTTTTAAAAGGAAAATCGCTAGCGCCAAAATGGAGAAAATCTGCTAACAAATTCATTTCGCAGCCTTCATGCAGCCACTCCAATACGATTTACGAGATCCAGCTGCAAAAGACAATAGTATTACGCATGCAGCCACAGCACGAAGCAACCTTGACGCAGCCATTCCAATGCGATCTACAGTGACTGAGTTGCAAAACACAATAGAACTACGCGCAACAGTATCGGAAACTGCAGCTCCAAAACCGGATCTCGACGCCAAAGCAGAAAAAAGACGATTTTGAAGCGCTTTTTAAAATGATTTTGAAAAGGAAAATTATTAGCGCCAAAATTGAGAAAATTTTCTGACAAATCATTATCGCAGCCATTCCAATGCGATCAGCAACCACAGCTTCAGGAAACGCATAGAACTACACCACAGGAACAACCACTTGTTGCAAAACACATAGAAGGAACCAATCGCGTCCGGAACGACCGCAGCCGCACCCGTCGCACACACGAGGTACCTTTCATCGTCGCCGCCAGCCACTTTACACGGAAAAACATAAGGTTTCGTGCTCCGGCTTCCTCCCCAAAACATGGCACATGCAACATTCTTGCAGCCATTACAATGCGATCTGCAACCACAGCTTCAGGAAACGCATAGAACGACACCACAGGAACAACCACTTGTTGCAAAACACATAGAAGGAACCAATCGCGCCCGGAACGACCGCAGCCGCACCCGTCGCACACACGAGGTACCTTTCATCGTCGCCTGCAGCCACTTTACACGGAAAAACACAAGGTTTGGTGCTCCGGCTTCCTCCCCAAAACATAGCTCATGCAACATTCATGCAGCCATTACAATGCGATTTGCAACCACAGCTTCAGGAAACGCATAGAACGACACCACAGGAACAACCACTTGTTGCAAAACACATAGAAGGAACCAATCGCGTCCGGAACGACCGCAGCCGCACCCGTCGCACACACGAGGTACCTTTCACCGTCGCCTGCAGCCACTTTACACGGAAAAACGCAAGGTTTCGTGCTCCGGCTTCCTCCCCAAAACATAGCCCATGCAACATTCATGCAGCCATTCCATTGCGATCTGCAACCACAGCTTCAGGAACCGCATAGAACTACACCACAGGAACAACCACTTGTTGCAAAACACATAGAAGGAACCAATCGCGTCCGGAACGACCGCAGCCGCACCCGCCACACAGACGAGGTACCTTTCATCGCCGGCTGAAGCCACTTTACACGGAAAAACACAAGGTTTCGTGCTCCGGCTTCCTCCCCAAAACATAGCTCATGCAACATTCTTGCAGCCATTACAATGCGATCTGCAACCACAGCTTCAGGAAACGCATAGAACGACACCACAGGAACAACCACTTGTTGCAAAACACATAGAAGGAACCAATCGCGTCCGGAACGACCGCAGCCGCACCCGTCGCACACACGAGGTACCTTTCATCGTCGCCTGCAGCCACTTTACACGGAAAAACGCAAGGTTTCGTGCTCCGGCTTCATCCCCAAAACATAGACCATGCAACCACTTGTTGCAAAACACATAGAAGGAACCAATCGCGTCCGGAACGACCGCAGCCGCACCCGTCGCACACACGAGGTACCTTTCACCGTCGCCTGCAGCCACTTTACACGGAAAAACACAAGGTTTCGTGCTCCGGCTTCCTCCCCAAAACATAGCCCATGCAACATTCATGCAGCCATTCCAATGCGATCAGCAACCACAGCTTCAGGAAACGCATAGAACTACGCACACAAGAACAAGCACTTGTTGCAAAACACATAGAAGGAACCCATCGCGTCCGGAACGACCCCAGCCGCAACCGCCGCACAGACGAGGTACCTTTCATCGCCGGCTGCAGCCACTTTACACGGAAAAACACAAGGTTTCGTGCTCCGGCTTCCTCCCCAAAACATAACCCATGCAACATTCATGCAGCCATTCCAATGCGATCTGCAACCACAGCTTCAAGAACCGCAAAGAACTACGCACACAGGAACAACCACGTTGCAAAACACATAGGAGGAACAATTCGCGCATGAAACGACCCCAGCCGCATCCGCCGCACAGACGAGGTACCTTTCATCGCCGGCTGCAGCCACTTTACACGGAAAAACACAAGGTTTCGTGCTCCGGCTTCCTCCCCACAACAGAGCCCTTGCAACATCATGCAGCCATTCCAATGCGATCTGCAAGCACAGATTCCAAAACACCCTATAACTACGCGCACACACAAGCACACCCAAAGCAGCTTGAAGCCACCGTTACACTGCGGCAAAAAAAAACGACCAACCGACCGCAGCCGCACCCGCCGCACAGACGAGGTACCTTTCATCGTCGCCTGCAGCCACTTTACACGGAAAAACACAAGGTTTCGTGCTCCGGCTTCCTCCCCAAAACATAGCCCATGCAACATTCATGCAGCCATTCCATTGCGATCTGCAACCACAGCTTCAGGAACCGCATAGAACTACACCACAGGAACAACCACTTGTTGCAAAACACATAGAAGGAACCAATCGCGTCCGGAACGACCGCAGCCGCACCCGCCGCACAGACGAGGTACCTTTCATCGCCGGCTGAAGCCACTTTACACGGAAAAACACAAGGTTTCGTGCTCCGGCTTCCTCCCCAAAACATAGCCCATGCAACATTCATGCAGCCATGGCAAACAGTGAAGCAGCCATTCCATTGCAATCTGCAACCAGAGATTCAAGAACCGCATAGGACTACGCACACAGGAACAACCACTCGCTGCAAAACTCAAAGTCAGTTCTTTCCTGATGTTTTGTCATGTAGTGTAAAGTCTCAGACCACCCTTCATCAAAGTAAGTTCTTTCCTGATGTATTGTCATGTAGTGTAAAGTCTCACACCACCCTTCATCAAAGTCAGTTCTTCACTCATGTATTGTCATGTAGTGTAAAGTCTCACACCACCCTTCATCAAGGTCAGTTCTTTTCTGATGTATTGTTATGTAGTGTAAAGTCTCACACCACCCTTCATCAAAGTCAGTTCTTTTCTGCTGTATTGTCATGTAATGCAAAGGCTCACACCACCCTTCATCAAGGTCAAGTCTCACTCGCGCACCACCCTTCATCATAGTCAATTCCATCAAGTCTCACTCGCGCACCACCCTTCATCAAAGTCAGTTCTTCACTCATGTATTGTTATGTAGTGTAAAGTCTCACACCACCCTTCATCAAGGTCAGTTCTTTTCTGCTGTATTGTCATGTAATGCAAAGGCTCACACCACCCTTCATCAAAGTCAAGTCTCACTCGCGCACCACCCTTCATCATAGTCAATTCCATCAAGTAAAAGTCATTCGTAACTCGGAAGTATTGCTTCCCAACTTCCTTTGATAATCTTAATAGTCTTCACCTCGATCGAACTCATGGGTCCTCACTGGAGCCGGAGAGGTTTTTGACCAAGCAGAAGATCTGCCTGTGTCCCTGAAGCACACGGAAACGTCGAAACGTCGTCAGAGATAGTTGCTGGCAGATCTGCCCACGGATTCCAGCCACGAACATTGGTCCTTGGAAGTTCTTTGTGCTAATTGGATGCTGATTTGAATCGAGGACATCAATATGCCGCAATATGCCCATGATCTAAACTTATCTAAGCAATTTTTCATGGAGTCAGACATCGACATCGTAGCGGTCGTAGCGTAGAGGGAAAATATTGGCGGTCTCTTCCAGCAGTGCGCACGACTTTAGCCCTGGGTTTTTCCCGGAGGACCTGAGGATCGGTGTCTCGCAGGACGTACTCCGAGCTTCCGGTTACTGTGATGATTAATGTGGTAAACCGAATCAGAAACACCATCCCCATCCACAAGAACTTACCAGAAATGGGGTTGTATAAACATGTATAAACCATCCCAAAAGGGGTGTATTGGGTTTACCACGGTTTACCACGTTACAAGGTGTGTGAATCACTGGGCCACCCGGATATCACCGGGTCCGCGGTGTCAGTGCGGACCCGGTCCGTACCACAGGCGCGCGCACGGCCCGATTTTCCGCGAGACATGACGCCAACGCAGCAGCGGGAAAAGAATAGTAGTCTTCTTAGTCTTAGTCTTAGATCTTTGGAGACTTTGGAGTATTCCAATTTTTCCAATTTTCGGCTTCAAAGTCACAGGATGTCACAGGCCACGCGTGGTTTCCTTTAGGAAAATGGTTTGTTGACATACCTGAAAACATAGGACATGATCCTTGAAAATCTTTGTGCAGTGGTATGATTTCTGCCAGAAAGTGTTAGATGATGCTTGCGAATATGCTCAGCAGATGTTGGAGTCTCGGATCACAGAAGTTCAGAGGTTTTCAAGTGGGCCAGGTGCACCAACAGGATCCTTCGCAACAACCCCACTCTTTTCCCAGCAGAAAGAGACCACTTTAAAATACTTTAAACGGGTTTACATCGGATTCAATACATTCTTGCCTTTTGGTACGCCTTCATGTGCCATGGGGCGCGGCCATGTGGTTTCCCAGCTGCCGATGTTGCTAGCGCCGTTTTCGCCGTTGGAAGCATTCGGACTTTGGGGTCAGCTTTGTCAGTCCTGGCGCCAGCGCTTGTGGGCTGAAAACACTCGGAAAGAGGTCCACTGCAAGGGCCACACTTCACCTGGGCTCTCCTTCCGGGGGATCGTTTGGGATCGTATAGGCACCACTCATAGTTTGGCTTTGTTCTGATAGCGCAGGTTAGGATTGATGGGTACAGGGTGACAGTCCGATAGTCAAAAGTCATTGATGTGTGGGCGCAAATTCTTTCGCGAAACTGATCTCTATCGGAGGCGGGCTCATTCCAAACAAGATGACTTCCCTGTTGCCCTGCAGTCAACGCCTCACCCTGCAGGTCCTGTCACATTTGAACTTCGGAGTGCTACGATTGGACCATGACAAAAGCATCAGCGCTTGTGCAGCGTTGGCCAAGTACATCCCAGACACCTTGCATGTGCCTCGGGTGGAACGAAAGGACTCGAACATTGACGTTTTCTTCAGACAAAATATCCAAATTGGAAACGGAACACTTATCACTGCCTAATACATGACTATCTTGCTGATCCCCGGGAGATTGGAAAGTCGTGGAGAGTCCAAAATTGAATGACTTGGGGATTGAGGTGGAGCTAGGCATTGTGAATCATTGTGATATGACATTATTTCATAGTAATCATTCGTTCAGGAGGTGTTTGTGTCCAAGATCATCCGCTTCAGCATTTCGGCTGAAGTCCTTTGCCATAAATTCTCCGCGTTTCACTAGGGCCCTTCCGCCATTGGGCCATGGGCAGCAACTTGTGTGCGGTCGAAGCAATGGAGCGAACCGAGGAGGTTCTTGTTAATGTAGAAAAGGCCTTTGAAAAGACACTGGTCGACGTAACTACCCAGTCCCCGACGGCTCCGGGTGCGGGCCTGCCTCCGGGAGATTGGGATGGCAAACCAATGTTCGAGCACATTCTGGACGACATGTCGGATGCAGAGAGGCAGCACATTTTGGAGAATATAGTGCTGAGTGATGACCCCAGCAGCAAACACTTTGCCAAGCGTCACAAAGCCATTCGCTTTGTCACCATCATCAATGGCAGAGTGCAGACGTTCACTCAGAACTACTTCCTTCAGGATGTGGAGTACAATGACTTCTCAGGTGGACTCCGCAGATACTATGGTTTGATCAATGAAGACCTCTTTGAGCCTGGTGCCCCCGTCGCCAAAGTGGTCTTGAATTTTGCCGAGTACTATGGGATTCCAGAGAAAACTGCCATCCTCATTCAGATCCAGACCAGCTACTTTGACAAAAAAGAATATGCAAAGACCCGTGCCAGTGTGACTGGGCAAGGTATCCACACAGATGGCGCAGATCGTGCCATGCTTGTCTGTTTGCATCGGGGAGACAAGCTTGAGGGTGCAGAGAACCTATTCCATGCCTCATTGGATGGCACGGAACCATTGTGTGAGGAGTTGCCTTTGCAAAACCGAGAAGGCCTTTACTTCAAAGACAACAGCCTCTATCACACGGTCACCAGAGCACAGGTTGGCAAGTACCAGAACTTGGAGCAGGTTTCACGCACTATGATGATCATGCACGCCCCGGCAGAGATCTACATGCAAGGTTTACCAAATCCGAACAACACTCTTGGTGCCAATGAGTCTGATGTCAAATTACGTGGCCAGACAGAGAGATCAGAGAGAATATCGAAACGTGATACCATGTTGGGCAATCATTTGAACTGAGCAGGTTCAGTTTCATCATATTTTACTTTGCATTTCGTTAGCACGTGCAAGGGTGCGTGCATGAACCGGGACTTGCGGCGACGGCCCCTGTGTGTGTCACTAACCAGAGCCTGCACGACTCACGGATTCTAGCACTTTTTAAAAATATGCTAGAGGATCAAAAGGAAACTGTGAGAACGCAAAGCAGGCCCTGTGCCTTGGCAGGAGAGCAAAAAGAATCATGAAGCGATTATGAGCGGTGGTGCAGCAGTGAAAGGGTTTCCCCGCACAAGACAAATTGCTCGAATGGGTATCTGAAGTCCAGTGGCTGGCTAATGAATGGTTCATTCTGAATGCTATAACGGGTAGCAAGAGCGGACCATGGAAGGCCCGGGATCACCAAGACGGGCCAACCCACTTGCCTATCATGAATTTATTTGTCTTCAACGGCTCTTATTCCAGTCCAGACACGACCAACACGCAGAGGTACGAGGGACCCACCCAAACTCTCCATTTTGCTCGGCAAAGCCCTGAAGTTGAAAAGTTCCGGAGAAACACAGGGTTTTGTCACACCCAGTGCCTTGGCGAAGGTGCTGAATTTGGACTTCTTCCGCTGCCACTTGGGACAAGCAGCTGCTGAACAACTGGCATCGGCCATCCCTCCAGGCTTGCTCCACTTGCAGCTCGGGTGCCTTGGCTCGGAAAGGCGGCTGCAAGAAACCGGGGGTTGGAAGAGCTCAGATAGGTCAAAAATGGTCAAAATGTTGATCCACAGATATCATCAGATATCCACAGGATGCTGAGGGACTCGATCAATTGATCCACAGGCGGCCACTCATGGCAGATCATTTGCTTCTCAGGTTGACCCGATCTCGTGTGGGCAGTGGTGGATTGCGGCGCCTGGCGGAGAAACTGCCATCAAGTTTGAAGAGTCTGTGGTTGGATGTAGGATCTTGTGCCCTGGCACAAACGATTCACAAAACGTGAGCTGAGATCTTAAGATAAGATAGGATGACAACAACATGTTGATGAAAGATGCTGAAAGATGGTGAAAACTACGTAGCTACTTCTTAATACCCCTTTTGCATCCTTTTGCGCCCCTAGCATGCTGCACCATCCTGGTTTTGTCCAAGGTTTTGTGGGCAATGAGGGCATCTTGGCCATCAACCTCCAGGCGCTTCCGGATCTCAAGTCCTTCCACCTTTCTGCAGAAAATGATCTGAAGGTGCCCGCCTGGGTCACGGGCAGGAGGATCATAGAGGTAGGACAGACATGGTCATTGCTTCTTCTGAATCTTATGTGTTATAACTTTTATACATGAGATAATATTTAGTAAAATTAGTAAATATAGATATTATTATTATTACTAATGTATTATTGTTATTATCATTTAATAATTATTGTATTTTTTAAATAATATTCTCATTATTGTATATATATATGCAAATTATTATTATATATTATATTATGTTATATTATATATTATATTATGTTATATTATATATTATATTATATATTATATTATATATTATATTATATATTATATTATATATTATATTATATATTATATTATATATTACATATTATATATTACATATTATATATTATATTATATTATATTATATTATATATTATATTATACTATATTATATTGTATTATATTATATTGTATATTATATTTTACTATATTATACTATACTATATTATATTATATTATGTTATATTATATTTTATTGCACTATATTATATTGTACTATATTATATAATATATAGCATTATATTATATATTTTATTACAATACATTATATTATATTATATTGTTTTAAATTACATTATATTATATATATATTATATTACACTATTTATATTATATATAGACATATATTATATTATATTGTATTATATTGTATTATATTATATTATATTATACTACATTATATTATATTATATATTACATTATATTTTGTATTATTATATATAGTATATTATATTATGTTATATTGTATTATATTATATTGTATTATATTGTATCATTTTTATCTTATATGTTGTATATTAAATTATATGCTGTACATATATATGTATATACAGTCCTCCAGGAATTGTTGTGGGTTCCAAATGGCAGAGGTATGAGTTTTTGGAGATACTTGGGTGTAGCCATTGTGGCTGTACGGCGCACGGTTGATGCATTCACATGGTGAGTGCATGTCAGTGGTAAAGTCGATCAGACCACTAGAACACAGGACCATAATGTGAGCCAAGTAAGGATGCAGGTAACGGCAGATTCCCTTCAAAATTCTCTTGGCCTTTTCACATCATTGTTTGACAGTTGCTGAAGATATCTTGTCACATTCAGCTACATGCCAAAACCTGCAATGGACTTCTTGGTTAATGCTTTTGGTACATCACCTGTTCATCATGGTAAGGTCACGCAAGCTGAGGTCGACGATACCTCCTTGCAGTTCTTGGCCGATGGCATATCTTCGCTGTCGACGTTGCGTCTGGATTTTTCCAGATGCCGGGTGAGCTTCCGTGGAATCCAGTGCCCTAGCGAAATGGGACACCCAAATGGGTTCCTGAAACTTAATGGGTTTGAAATCTTCACGCCAGGGGAGCGGGGAGTACACGGGTAGACGGCGTTCACCCAAAGCCATTGCATCTATTTGAATCTTCTGTTGGAAGTTATGACTGAATAGTTCATAAATGCGTGCGAATCATTTCGACTCGAGTTTTTTTGGTCGAAGATTTCCAAGATCTCCTAGGTACTTGGCCGAGAGGCTTCCAGCATTGGAAACGTTGCAACTCAGCTTCTGCAATTGCCACGTCAGTCCTGATGGCGCCTCTTCCCTGGCAGCAAGGCCCCATGCTCCCAGTGCTTGTGGTTGAAGAAAAACACATGTGGCCGTCGTGGCTGCGCTTATTGCTTCGAATTTATCAGAAATCGTCGGAGTGTTGTGATTGATGTTGACTTTTCAGGAGTATGCGTGCCATGTGTCATGTTTGTTTCTGTGAAGGGTGCAAGTTTACTGCGCGATGCTATGCATTTCCAGCTGCAAGGCTCCCACCAACCCTGACAGAGTTGAGCCTCAACTTCTGCCGTGGAGAAATTGGGGATGCCTCTCGGATTCACATCTTTTTGGTCCATTCAACGGCGCTGAAACTTGGCACCGAAGCAGCTGCTTCTTACGGCCTGTAGATCCATGACATGAAGTTTGAACAAAAGGAAAAAAGAACGGTTGACAGTTGACAGCATCCTAAGGATTCATGGGAACGAGACCTTTGAGCTGGTTGAGTTTAGTATCTCAAATGATCAGGGTATCCAACTCGGAGATGGTTTGTCCCGTTTTTTTCAACGTTTGCAGGTCCAGCAGATCACAGATTTGTTTAAAGAATCCCGATGCCATTACATTACACTGACTGGGGGTTTGAGCTGCTAAGGAGATTGGATTTGACAGGCATCCCGATTCGAATGGAGGCCAGGAGTTGATGCTATCTGAGTTTTGTTCCGTGCGACGTGGACAGATGTGAGAATGAATTTGTATTGTGAACCACCCAGCCCTTGACAGTTCAACTTTGGGGGCACTGGGTCATCGTCCAAGGCCCTGGTATTTCCTCCAAGTTTGACACATCTGGACTTGACTGTTGGCGCATTGAAGGGAGACCCTTGGCATAAGAGACGGACTCAGTGTTCAAGCCGAGAGATTGCTCAAGATGTGGAAGTAGTTGGTTGCTCAGGACATCCGGAGATTGAGGCAAAACTTTCCGGGATCGAAACTCAGCACTTGAGCTCAACTCGAAGTGGCTGGCGAAGCACTGGTCTCAAGCGCCGTGTCAGTCTCAGATTTTTGTGTCGCTTGTGACTGTCCTAGACATTTGATTGAGCCTCTCAAATGATCTGCGCACGACCATTGTCATTGTCAAATCAGTTTGCTATTAGAAGATTTAGAAGGTTAGCAGATATCACTGATATCACTGTATCACCAACTTTGATTTTTGATGTTCGAATCTGTTTGAGTCTGTGGCAGTCATCTCGATTCCAGTAATATTGTTCCATCATATGGGCTGAGAATGGCTGAGATATGTGGATCGGCTCCGATTCCTGCAGGCCTCTGGTGGATCTTTGCCAAGGCCCAAATCAGCTTCCCGTGTCTCGGCTTCTCGTGGCTCGTGCCTATGGTGCCCCGTCTCCATTTTCGAGCTTCACAAAGACGGTGCGTTAGCTGCCGTTAGCTTGTACATGCTCAATGGCTCAGTATCGACTTCAAGGAGTCCCCTTGGAGTCTTTACCTCTTATCACACGTTCAGTCGATCAAGTATGGTGCTCATTTCCAGCGACAGACTTGAGGTAAAAATCCTGATGGCTCCTGATGATATGGGGAAGCTCTGGGTGTGAAGAATTTCCTGGTGGTTGGACACTTGGAAAAGTCGTCAGCTGTCAAGGGCCACGAGAGTCAAAAGTGATCCAGGCCTCTTGCAGTTGCTAATCACCAACTGCATGTCTAATGTTGATCAACCTCCAGAACACGTCGGATCTCACCAATCATTTGAATTCACTAGATACATTCGTCATCATTCGTCATCATTCGTCATCATTCGTCATCATTCGTCATCATTCGTCATCATCGGTCCAAGCTTCATTTCCAACTCTAGCCCCAGAAAGGCTCATTGCATCTGAGGCGGGTGTCCTGACCACCATCATCCTTGCTCTGCTGCTTGTCACTGCAGACCTTGCAGCTGGATGGATGCATGTAGTAGTGCATTGCTTAAGTGATCTTCAGTGTACTTCTCAGAGAGTAACTCTGAGTTAGATGTTCTTTGACATTTGCTCTGAAATGCTGAAGATCTAGATCAGGCAAGAAGAGTTTCAAAATAATTGGACAACTTTCGTGATACACGTTGACATATCTTTGGCCATCATTTTTCACTAATCGCACTTGTAGATGGTTGTGTGGTGTGAGATGTTGCGAGCTTTGAAACTATATTGACGGGTGCTTGGGCGCTGAGCTGACAAAGCTTCAGCATTGGACATCAAAATTTAACTTTGCGGCTTGCTGCCCTTTTAACCTTTCATGTCTTTCTCGGAGCTGTGACTTGGTTCCTAGTGTAGACTGAGGATTGAAACCAGGATGCATCTGGGTGAAGTGATAGATGTGGATACATGGGTAAGATAGGTGCCGTAGAGCCGAAGACCACCTTCGCAGCGGAGGATTTTTGACGAGTTCAAACGTGGGTTCAAAAATCCAAATAGGTGGTTTCACAGACCAAGTTGTAGAGGTTGGCAGATGTTGGCAGTAGGCGGGCCCATTAGATTTCTCTGAATCAAGGACCACTTGGATGATGAAGAGGTTGGGTTTCGATGTGCACTTGCAGCATGTTGCGGTTCAAAAAAGGCTTGAGTCAAACTAGTAGCCTCGCGACGAAATTCTATTGTGCACCCTAGAGACCCTGGATTTGTGTGAACATAGCAGATGAAGACATTCTTGCATTACGTTCCTGGCAACATATCAGTAGTGATATTGCCTCCGTTGATGAGAGGGTGAACAGGGATGACAGCAAGTTGTGTGTTTTAGAAGGACACGAGAGACAGTTTCACGGACTTGACCATTATGATTATGACTCCATGATGCCTATGGAAGGAGCATGACGAGTTAGCCACAAAGAGCCGGCTAACTCATGAACCACTATGGAATGATATGCAGTGTGAGCAAAGTTTTCTTCGAAATGGAAGTGGTGTTCATTTTACATCCAGCTATTGAGTCTATTCTTGATTCTCTTAGATCCAGCTCTCTGTTTTGTCAAACTGCTGGACCATTTTCACGGTCCCGAGCCATGGCAAGAATCTGGCGTGTAGCCTTTACAGATAGCTTCGTGCAACGAGAGTTGGTCATAGTGGAAGCCGATGAAGTCGAACGAGAAAAGGTTAGTGAGTTCCCGAGGCTCGCACAAGAAGTGCTTGCTATGCAAAGCTGCAAAGCCTGTGAGAAAGATTGGCCTTTTGAAGGAGTTCTGGGCATAAACGAGCTCTTAAAACAAGTGGACATGGGAAGCTGGCATGCCACGTACTTGAACTGCCTATTTCAGCACAGGGAGCTACATGCCATCGGACTTGGCAGTGACTCTTCTTAAGAGAGTAACTTTTTTGGGGGAAACTTTTTTTGTTTATTTGGTAACATCGACAGGCCACCTCAATGTCTGGAGACATGGTGTTCCTTTGGTTGGCCAGTAGCTGGTGGGTAGGTGTTGCTGGTAGTGGTCAGCCCGGGCAACTTGAAATGGACTTTCTGACTAGTGTTTTTGAATGCTTTGATAGTGGATTTTGCTCTCTAGCCCATTTACTAGATGGATTGAAAGACTACACCATACTACGCCACAAGATGTGGAAATCACTTCAGTCATTCAACATGCATGGACTGCTATGCTGCTATATGAAGATTCAGGAGGCTTTTTGTTGCCTCAAAAGTAATTCTTCATGTTGGCGGTCAGCTGTAGGCAGAAAGGATGGCAGGAAGCGTGCTGGACTTTTGGGTTTGACCATTGCAGGGCTTTTAGCAGGTTCTTCTCCGCCCCCCCGGGAGCTAGATGAATACCTTCGGTGGGCGAAAGAGCAACCTGTAAAGCTGCTGGAACTGTGTCCTGGGAACGTTGCATCCATGGAAGCTACCTCTGGGCGCGATGAAGACTGGACACATGAACTGGATGCACAGGACTGGGTGCCAGAATCTGGTTCCTGGATATGGTGGATGGATTGGAAGACATTGGCGGTTTTGTGCGAAGATGTTGGTGCCCAAATATTTGCAGATGCCAACATGTGGCTGTCTGAATTGGCAGAAAATGAAAACTGGAATGAGGAGGATAGGAAGAGCTTGGAGCCTTTCCGTGTGCAAGTCAAGAAGGTCTTCCCAGACATCTTCTACTTTCCAACACTCTTCAAGCAGGAGCCATACGACTACCAGGTTGTTGGCATTGGCCGCGACATCAAACATCGCCGCCGAGCAGCCTGCCTTGGCTTCGCTGCTTTGAGGTCGCGGGGACACAAGCTGGAAGGGCAGCGATGGCTTGTTGTAGAGGAGGTACGTCGGTGCAGATGGTTTCCGCAACATCGCCTCGAACGTTTCTATGACCTGGACACCTGTGGCTTTTGGCTCAACATGCAAAGATGGTGCAACGGTCATCAGTACGAGCAGCCTTTGCAAACTGCGCAGTTGAAAGGAGCGGGACAGCCCTTTTCTGACAGAGATTTATCAGACATCCGGATGAACTGCCAGCCAGCTTTGTTGGCAGAGCTGGAGCGCCACGGAAGCTATGCAGAGATTGACTTGACAAAATCCACGTATCCATGGCCAAAGATCATTGCAGGGCATGCTGAAAAGATTCGGATTGTGGGGCATGGGGTAGAGCGATTTGCCGTTGTTGCTGACAGTGAGCAGTCCCGTGATGCATATCAGGAATCAGAGTTGATCCACTTCGTCGTAGATTGTGTCGATGGCCAAAGACATAGATTTGATTCCCTGAAGCGGACACACGCAAGCAAATGGGAGCAGCGCACAGCCGATGATGAGACTCTTGCTTTCCGGCTTGCAGCAGGCTGGTCTGTGAAGAAGCGATGGGAAGCCTACGTCCCCAACGTGTTTCAAAATCTGATCCGGGACTTCAAAGAAGACCGACGGCCCCACGGATGGTGCGATAAAGACTGGAAACGGCCAAGCCACAAGTCTCATGCGCACGTGGGGAGCTGAGTCTTGCGCAGTCTAAGTCTGCGCCTGTTGATGCCACAAATCTCACACACACACAGGAATTGCATAATATGTAAAAACTCCTGCAGTAAAACCATGTATCATATGTCATCGTACTACTCTGTAGCGTTGGTTCAAAAGAGCTGAGTGCTTAGCGGCTTGTAGGTCACCCCATTGGTAATATACCACATTGTTGGCTGACCTTGTAAAATACAGGTTATCAGCCGTAGTCTCACTACTTTGCTATGGGGACCCCAATTGACCATCCTCTCGCCGTTCCAGGGTCAGGTCCATCGGCTATCGCTGTGCCGAATGTAGCCGGGGGCAACCCCGAGCCGATGGACGACGAGACAATGTTCCAACCCGTCGTAGCGTACTTTACCTTCATACAAAACAACCTGTCCCAGATCACTAGTGGGAATACCCTGCAAGTCATGAGGGAAGCTGAACAGAGGCACCTTCAGATAATGCATGGAGTAGTTGACTCAATTCGAAACGAATGGTCAAGTAGACTCGTAATGCAAGAGCAGGAGTATGAGCAAAGGCTGCAGGAGGTTGAAGGTAAGGCCATTAGCGCCGTCAACGAGGAGAGGAAACGAGGCGATGAGATGGAGGTCAGGTTGAATCAGGCTCAGGCATCGCATGACAGAAGAATAGAGGATGTAAAGGCAGAGGCAAACACGAAGCATGATCAGAAAATTGCAGAGGAAAGGCAACGTATCACTAGTGAATTTGAAGCTTCCTATGCACAGACAGTTGAACATGCAAAGAATGCCATAGCTGCCACAAAGAAGCAATATGAAGATCAGGCTGCAATCGATCAGGCCAGGTTCATCAGTTTGAGGACTGAATTCGAGAACTACAAGAAGGAGATGGCCGACAAGATCAACGAGGCAGCGGCTCAGAACCTTAGCCTTCAGGACCAAATCGATGACCTTCAGGAGCAGTTAAAGCATGTTGCCAAAGCGCAGCATGCCTCCGTTCCGAAAGCATCCGTCCAGAACGCCGAGCCGGCCGCTACCACTAGCGTGCCCCACTTCAATATTGCCACTCCCAAAGCATCCGATGCACAGGCTGCCAAAGGCAGTGATGAGCCGATTCATGAGTTGAAAACGCCTGCAGTGTTGGCACAAGAAGCAAAGGCCAAGTTGGATGAGCTGCTCAAAGGTGGCAGTCCCAAGCAAAAGCCGGCTGTCGGCAACGACCAGCCCCAATTGCCAACGCAGTCAGGGTTTTTCACTCCCACTGAAGCTATCAAAACTCCCCCAAATGACTCCCCTAAGAGCGCAACCAAGCAACAGCAAGTGATGGGTCCCTCAGATCTTATTGAATTGGTAAAAGCCTTAACCCAAAGGGAAGAAAAGGATAAGCCAAAAACTAAGGAGGCCGAAATCATCAAGCTGAACAACATGCCCGCTCCGGAGTCGTATAGGACTTGGAAAAATCATGTCAGGGATGAAGTGAAAAGCTGTTCAGATCGCCCGGATGAGGCGTGGCTCTGGCTCAACGAGGTGTACGATCAAGAGTGCACCAGGGAACAGTTGGAGAAGAAACTCCAAGATCCTGGAAAGTTCCTCACGCTGGATACAAAGTTATCAGCAGCGCTCACACGCTCAGCCGGAGGGGACCTCGCAACTAGGATCTTGAATTTCAAAGAGCAGCAATCCCGAAAAGGCATCCAGGTCAGGGGAAGGTATGTTCTGCTCATGTTTGAGGACTACTTCAAGACATCAGAAGAAGCAGGTAGCCTTTACAGAGTAGAAGATCTTTTGGGTGTTGTCAAAGTAGGCGATACTGTCCAGGATCTCCGAAGATTTATCAACAAATGGGATGCTACCCTAGCTGGCATGGCTGTCACCCCCGATGATGCTGTGTTAAGGGACATCTTGTTGAGGCAGATCCGACCAAGTCAGTTGCTGAAATATGACATCGAGATGTTTGACCGTGCACATGAGAAATCCCATGAAAAGTCTTATAGTTTTCTTCACCAATCCATGAAGAACTTGATCGATCGTGAACGATTAAGGGAGAACAGGAACCGCATCGCGGAGAAGAACAAGGCTGGGATCAAGGACACAAAGGCCGCACCTGCCAAAGGCGATGGTCGCGGTGGCCGAAAGGGCTCTCCAAGTCGTGGTAGATCGCAGGAACGAGGTGGCAAAGGTGACAAGATTTGCTATAAGTTCCAAAAGGGTACCTGTGATAAGGGGAAGAAGTGTCCATTCAAGCATGTCAAAGATGACAAATCTCGAACTCAATCACCCAGAAGAACCAAAACACGTTCACCATCAAAGGGAAATAAAGATGATAAGGGGAAGAAGATGTCCAAGGAAGAAATGGCCAAAACCCCATGTATCTATCATGCCCAGGGAAAGTGCAGACGTGGTGACAAATGTTTTTATAAGCATGATGACAAAGCCGCTGCCGCCACCAAAGACACCAAAAGGGCCAATTCACCCGCTCCCAAGAAGAAGAGCAAGGATTCCACAGCCGCTCCATGCCTGATCCAGAAGTTTGCATGCATCGTCCGAAAACAGCCGAAGGCAACTTCGTGCTCTGATGAGTCAAGTGTCAGCATGAAGCGTCTTAGATTCCGAAAGGCCCCACATGTGATCGAGGTGAAGGCAGTTGGTCGTCAAGTCCCAGTCAAGCACCGTCCAAGAGAGTTCGCTAAGGTGTACAAGACAGCTGAAGACGTTCCAGTTTCATCCAAGGTTGAACAACATGAGGCTCAGGTTCGTGCAAGACAGCTTCAGGAAACTGTGAAACTTCATGATTCAGATGTTGCACCTAGTTGTGGGTTTTGTTGTTGGAATGAGGACACACGTGACATCACATGCAAAGAGTGCAGGTTCATCAGCGGTCCCAAAGCCAAAGGCCGGCGTTAGTTGGCTTGTCGACTCAGGTAGTGAATCCGATCTTGTGTCCAAGGGTATGTTGAGGGATGTTAGCGCCAAGAACTGCCGTGCAGCCGAGCATCCGATTTCCTTAGTCACAGCCAACGGTTCGACTGAGGCCAATGAGGTTGCTGACGTCAAGTTGTCCGCATTGCCAGATCCTGTGCATCCGTATGTACTTGATCATACCCCAGCTGTGCTCTCCGTAGGAACAAGATGTGTAGATCAGGGTTACAGTTTCGTATGGCCTGCCAATGGCAAACCAATCCTAGTCCGTCCAGATGACAAGGTCGTCCAGCTCAAGATCGAAGGTCATGTCCCAATCTTGGATGATAGTTGCAAGGTTTATCCCAAAGATCAATTTCAAAAGGATAAGCACCTCAAAAAGTTGTTTGCAATGCCGACCTCACGGTCGAGCTCAAAAGCCAAACGGGACGAAGCCCAAGATGAAGAGCAATTGGACGAGCTGGTGGAGGATGACGCTCAGCAGGAGTACATCCGAAGCCGCAAGACTGAGGATCTGCTGGCTGAAGCTGCAAGTACCCAACATCAGTACACGCATTTCCCCAAGAACCCCTTTTGCAGAACCTGCCAACGAGCAAGGATGATGGCACCTCGGGCACGAAAGAAAGGTGGTCAGAAGAGAATCGAAACTGAAGTGTTTGGTGACCACATCATTGGGGATCATGTCATCATCAAGAAAAATGTAGAAGAGGGTTTCAGGGGGGAGCAAGTTGCATTAGTGTTGAAAGATCTGCACACCCAATATCGGTATGTCTACCCTAGCCAATCCAAGGACTCACAAAGCTGTGTTGATGGTTTGAATCACTTCATTGGATCAAAGGATGATGTTCAAGTTGTGTACACTGACAATTCCCCAGAATTGATCAGGTCCATCAAGGATTTGGGTTACAGACACCAAACTTCCATTGAATATGTAGATTCATCAAAGTCTTTTGCTGAGCGCGAAGTTCGTCAGATGTTGGAAGGTGCCCGGAGCAACTTGTTGCAATCAGGACTTCCTTTGAAGATGCGGCCCTTGGCCATGCAGCATCACGCGACCGCGATCAATGCAAGCCCCCAGCTTGACGGCAGTGAATCCCCATGGCAACTCAGGTTTGGTGAAGAGTTCCCTGCAATGCACATTCCATTTGGTGCCAAAGTGTTGTTCTGGAATAACCCCAAGAGGTTGGATAACACATCAGGTAAGCTCTCCCCAACAGCAAATGAAGGAATTTTCCTTGGGTATTACATCCAACCAGGTCATGATTGGAAGGGTGAATACTTAGTTGCCAAGTTGGAAGCCGCAGATTATCATGTCAACTGGGGTGCACTGACAATCCAAAGAACAAAGAGGTTGGAATTGCCATCCGAGGGTTTCATCTTTCCTTTGAAAGCTCTGATTGACTCGAAAGCACCCAAAGCCGATCGCCTCGAGGACCAGGTCATTCCGCAGACACCCAAAGCTGTGCCTCTTGAGTCCAGTTTGCATCCGCCACAAGATGAGTACGAATACGAGCCAGGAACGCCTCTACCAGCCGACAGCGATGTCGAGCCTGATGCACCCGAAGCGCCCGTATTTCCAGATCTCAAATTGACCCCCAAAGGTGAAATTATTCCAGATGGACATCATTGGGATGGTCACCGGATTGTACGTAACTACAAAGGTTCAAAGCGTCCGGAGGGGATTGACTCAGAACTGTGGAAGATGTTAGGACCCCAAGATAGGAAGTTGATCATCGAGGAAGAAGCAAAGAAAGCAGCCAAGGAGCAGGAGGAAAAGCCAGCATCGTCATCTGGCAGCAAGGGCAAAAAGAAGAAGTCTTCACCGGCCCGGCTTGAGGCAACTCAATGCCCTCCTGCAACTGCAAAGCTCGTAGGCAATGTTTGGGAAATTATTCCAGCCACTTCCCAAAAGTTTTCCGTGCCGGCAATGCCAAAAGTTGCCGCGCCTGCCACAATTGAGCACCGGCCTCGAATTAGAGAGCTCGTCAGAGAGAAGATCAAGGAACTTGAGTTCAAGGTCGCACTCGAGCTTTTCGCTTCAGTTGCTAGGCTTGTATCAAAAGATGAGATTGCCAGCAACCCCAAGGC